GGGAGGGGTTGGTGTGGCACCAATCAGCTATTCTAGAATGGGCTGCGGTGGCAAACAGTCCGCGGTGAGGGTGAACGGTCCACGCCGAATGGGCAGCAGCAAATGGGCTGTGCTGAACAGGCTGCAGCGAATGGGCCAGATGAATACCGGATGGATGCTGGGAGGCAGAGGCAGAATTTTTTTTTCTTGTTTTCCTCCCCAAAAGCTAGGTGTGTCTTATAGTCCGGAGCATCTTATACTCCGAAAAATATGGGTAAACTAAAAATATTAGTTTGATGTATTCCATTGGTACCAGTCACTTGTAGTACAGATATTCAGAGTATAGCTGGGAAACTAGCTGAAAATAATGGGAATGTGGTGAAAAAATGTAATACATGATATCAAAACAAATAACAGACATCAACATAGAAACTTGCCTATTATTCTATTATCATAACTTCTGCTCTGTATTTATAAGCCTGAAATAAAGTTTAAGAACTAGGATCATAACAACCTAACTATTGCTACAACAGTTGCAAAAAACGACATCTTTCTAGACTTTCAAAATGCTGCTTACAGCTTTTTCTCCAAGTCTAGTCATTTTAATTCAAATCTGAAAGAATAAGCTTTGAAGGGAGGGAAAGCAAATTCCTGCAAATAACAGACTTGTGTCAATTAGGAGGGTGCGAACCATTTTGAATTATACTGAACAGTATAATTTTGAAATGAGTGGTTAAACCTTACCAGAATGATCAGCACCACATAAGAACACTTCAAAGTAAGGTTAAAATAACTGTTTGAAGCTAAGATATTATTTCAAATCTGAAACATTTAAAATCCAAAATCTTTTGCATGCTATTAATATCAGCTACTAATAGCCAGACCTTAGCACAACCTTTGAACATTATTTTAGAATGCAGAATAAAAATTAATACATGCTTTATATTCTAAATGTTTTTGAAAGTTGTTTGCTATGTGGGCACAACATGCTGGAGAAAATATAGGTAGTTTGTATTTGCTTCATGCTGGACCCATAATAAGGCTTTTACTTTTAAGCTACTCTCAATCTCATTTAAACAAGAATACTTACAACACCCAAAACATCCACGCTAGTAGAATCTTCAGATCTTTATTTTACACCAACTATGGTTCTATTACCAGAAATGGTTCGAAGTCATTCTACCTCAATTCCTTAGGCTTAAGAATGTCAGTAATATTTTGGTGCTTTCCCAAGGAAATACCTTGGACAGTTCCTCGCCCTTCCTATTGTTATTCCATCAGAAAAGAAATGTTCATTGGCCAATTATGATCATCTCTTTAATAAATTTTCAAGCGGTAACTGTGGCATTCAATCTATTAAAGCTCCATGGTCCCGTGGTGAAACTGAGGAGACAAGGGTGATCTCAACTTTTCCTTTAACATGTACATCTTCTCTTATTTATTCAAATTGCATTTACAGGGCTGCAAACACTCTCTTTAAGGCACTGCCCACACTCAGTGCTGCTTACTTACAGCGCAGGATGAATCTATAAGGACCTTTCAACCTATTGTACTTCAGAAGATGGAACAGTCTGTTCTCTAAAACATAGCTGGGCGCCTTTCTTTCATTAAGCTTTATTGACAACTGAAGAAAATCTGATTACCTTCAGTATTTTTATTCATTTTATCCTGCCTTTATTATTTTTTATAAATGGTTCAACGTAACAAATACACTTGAAGCTCCTTCCTTCTTTTATTTTCCTTACAACCCTATGAGGTGGTTAGGCTGGAAGAGTGATTGGGTCAAAGGCACCCAACCAATTTTCATGCCTAAGGCAGGACTAGAACTCACAATTTCCCAGTTTCTAGCCTTGTGCCTTAATCACTAAAGCAAACTCCTCAATGCCGTTCTTTCCTAAAAGATCAAAGCACCCATCACCAGGATCTTTCCTCACTAGACCCCAAACTCTTTAACTGGGTGTTTCCTTGACCAGATTTGCTGGCTAATTGTGACCCACATACAGTATTTAAAGTCATACAGTAAAGTCATACAGTCATACAGTATTTAAAGTAAACCTAATTATGGTTTAATAATTGATGCCATATTGGCCATTCAAGGAAAATAAAGAACTAGGCACACAAGCTCAAGTCCCACAACATACTAAGGGCAAATTTAGGAATTTATAATTTGGTGCTGTGTGCGTCACATCCACTAACTCTAGCTGCAAAATGGCTTGTCAGGCCTCTTTCCATACTACCTACCTTCAAAATAGTCCATCACCCATAGTTCTGAATTCCCACTTTTTTTTCACTCTCTTTAGCACCTACTCTTAAATCTATTACAAATGGAAAATAAGATTACAGTAACTATTTAAAAAATGTTTTGATGAACGTCACATATTCTTTTTTGAAAACCCCTTTCTCTTTAGACAAGCTTATTCCGTACCCACTCGGCTTTTCATTCGTGCCTATCTACGCCCAAATGCAGGGCCGCCCCTGCGGACCCCGGATCAATGCCAACATGCAGCAGTATGTATTCGGGACTTCACACCCAACCCTGAACTGCTTTCCCATAACCAGGGCCAGACTCTGGAACACGAGTATTTGGGGGTGGGGGAGCAGTGGGGGGGGGGTCGTGATATTTCGTCCGAAAGGAGACGCTGCGCCAAACGCCGCTCAGCTTACGGGACATCTTGGTGAGGACGTTGCGCGGCGCCTTCCTGCCCCGCGACCTAGCTCTCTCCTCTGCTTCTGGCTTGGGCTCCTTGACCAGCATGAGGTTGCGGAGCCGCTGGAGGCGTTCGGGGTCGGCGGGGGGCCGGCCGGCCCGGCTCCGAGTACGCGTCCCGGCGGAGCGGCTGCTGCGGCCGGCGGCTGTTCTCGAGCGACCCGGGGCGCGGAGCAGGCCGCGCTGAAAGCTCTCGTACTCGGC